TTCAGTAATCATAGAGAAGATAGAGGCTCAAACTAGAGTAGCTACAAGAGAGATGACAGTAAGGGGGCCAAATCTGAGATATTTTTGGAGGAAGAATCAACAGGACAGAAAAGGGAGAAATTTTCTAGAGTTACTGGGGAAATCTTCATGGAAGAACGAGGCTAGGGATGTAAAAGAAGCTCTGCACACAATGTTAGCAGGGACAGTCAGGAAGCAAAAGATCTGCAGACTATTGCTGTGACTCTGTAAGGTGAGGAACAAGGACAGCAGCCATGGGTTAGAAAGGAGGAACATTCATGAAGATTAAGTCAGGACCACTGAGACTCACAACACATGCTTACAAGCTATATGACCTGGGCCAAGCACTTACCCAATGAAACCTGAACTTCACATATTTAAGTGAGGGTAATAATAGCTTATGACCCAAAATGTTGTTGTAAAGGTTAAATAAGATACTGTACGTAATGTGGCTAGCACAATTCTGACACACAGCAAGGGCTGATAAATATTAGCGATTATTTTAATTACTACTGGGATTCTGACAGTTTTGGATCATTGCCCGTAGGAGATCACACTCTGGTTGAGGAAATAAGATTTTATATTTTATAAAATATATTTTGAGAAGGAAGCCATTCAAAATCAAGTGTTCAAATATAAGATATGAGCAACTCTATTAATTTTGCCCAATATAGCACTTTCTGTATTATAAAACAGATGTTAAAATTTCCTGCACGTCTTTGTGTGTGAGTGTTGCAAATGAGTAAGGATGGATAGTGCTGGATCTCATCTTAAGGTAGTTTTAGATATTTCCATTTGACAGCCTCTGCTGCTTGACAGTTAAGCTCCTGTTTGGTTTTAACATGACTATTGTTCAAACAAGTAAAAAGCACCAAAAAAAGTGATTATGATTCAGTATGAAAGTCTGCCCTTTGCTTTCATTTAGGGGAGCTAAGACAAGAACAGCCTGTTTCCTTTCATTTTGTCATAGTAGCATTTCATAAAGATGCATAAAGAATTTCAATTTCAACCTTTGGAACTAGCCCCACATTTGAGTAGTTATGGCTGTGGCTTAATGGGATAACATCAGAGTTCAAGTTCTTTTTCTGCCATGTGCTTTGCTCTATCACATTGAACAACTCAGGTAATCTGCTGAGCCTCAATTTTTCACCTATAAAAGGAGGATAATAATTCCTACCTTAGATCAAAAGAGAAAATTTAACTCAACGTCTGGAACAAGTAGGTGCACAATAAAAATATTTTAATAAACAATGTAGTATATTAAGCAGGGAGACTGATTTTTATACAAATGTATAGTTCTAGGTTGAAGAGTGTCCCCTAAAATTCATGTCTATCTGAAATATTAGAATGTGGCCTTATTTGGAAATAAGATAATGTAAATGTAATTAAGTTAAGAGGAGGTCATACTGGATTTGGGTGGGCCCTAATCCAATGACGGGTGAAATGAGAAATTTGGACACAAACAGAGAGAAGAATGCCATGTAAAGACAGAGACACACAGGAGAGAATGCCACGTGAAGACAGAGGCAGAGAATGGGGTGATTTATGTACAGGCCAAGGGTCACCGAGGAATGCCGGCAACCACCAGACATAGGAGAGAAGCACGGAACAGATTCTCCCTCAGTGACTCGAGTAGAGACCAGCCCTGCTGACAGCTTGATTTCAGACTTCTAGCCTCTAGCACTGAGAGAGAATATATTTGTGCTGTTTTCGGCCACCCAGTTTGTGGTGATTTGTTAAGGCCAGCCAGAGGAAACTAATACCAGTACCTATACCTCTTTATGTCAATCCCGGGAGGCTAGTGTCTGTGGTAGTAATAAAAGGTCCCCTCTCCACATTCTTGGGGGCTTTAAACAGCAAAGATATATTTCCCACTCCTACTACATACCCATCACAGATCAGCTGCCTTCCACACCATGTTGCCTTCATCAGAGACCCTGGCAGATGGAGGAAACTTTATCTGGAATGTTGCCTCTATCTGGTCATTGACAAATGGAACAGAGTCCAAAAATTCAAGAATTTATCGGATTAGAAGATGAAACTGATTCTCATATCTAACCAGTAAATTATAAAATTGAAGTGCCTTTAAGTGACAAATCTCTAATCATGTCGCAAGAAGGGCGTGGCCACTATATCATTTGTTAAAATCACTGATCAATTAAGGGGGCTCCTAGTAAATTATTTCAACTGGACAAAATGACAGAGGGAAAGGGCATGGCAAACTATACACTGGCTCTTGAAGCTTCTGCCTGAAAGCAATCCATATAAATTCGGTGCACATTTCACTCACCAGAGCAAGCATGTCACATGGCCAAGTCTGATATCATTGTCTGGGTGTGTATCCCCATCTGTAGAGAGGGGCAATGAATATTTTTAGCAATAATATGATCTACCCCACTCTTACAGAAGATTGTCCTTTCAGTAGTTATTTTCAGAGGCTTACATAGTAGTACGGTGATATTGCTCCCATGTGGAGAAATCTTTCGGAATGATGGTCAGAGTAATGTATTATGTCATGTAAGAAATAGACTTGACTTTATGGTTTTTGGCCCCAAATGGTATTCCCCGGCTCATCTTCCTAGTCACCAGATGTGGTTGACAATTGTGATTACACAGTGTCCCTCATGGACAATGTATTTGTTTTAAGGCCCTAATTTTATTTCCCAAAATAAAATCTACCCCCTCAACTAATGAAAATTTGTCACTGTTGAGGCTGGTCAAAGGAAGGCACACAGGCAGCTCCTAACAAGGAGCTGCAGAAATGTTGTGAGCAGTGACAGCATCACAGATATACATATACACGTTATCTCCCTCCTGAAGCCAGCAGGCCTGTAGACAGCCCTAGCACAATTCCTGAAGCAGAGGCATGACTACAGAATGATAATAACGGCTGGCCTCATGGAAAGCTTACTATGTGCCAGGCATTAAATGATTCACATGGATTATCTCATTCGGTCCTTGCAAACAGGGCTGGCACTAGGTGGAGGCAATTGAGGTATCTGGAGCACAAAATTGAAGGAGATGCCCACTCAGGGCCTGCAAGTGCAAGGTTGAACTTGCCTGACCCTGCCAGAGAGTGCCTCTTTCAGGTTGATGTCCTAAGTGCCTCACTCACCTTACCATAGTCCCAGACCTGCTGGCAACAATCCTGTGAGGACATATCCCCAACTCCCTTCTTTGCAGAAGAGCAAACAGGCTTTTGGAGCTTGAGTGACTTACTTCACTCTCACACAAGTGGTGGAGCAAGGATCTGAGCCCAGGCCAATGGACCCAAAGCTTGGGCCTTGACCAACTGCACCAGACCGGACCTTAGTCAATGCCTCGTGTACAGTCTTGGTCATTTTTGTCTTCCTTTCCAGGTCTCCAAGGCAGCTGCAGACTTGATGGCCTACTGTGAAGCGCATGCCAAGGAGGATCCCCTCCTGACCCCTGTTCCAGCTTCAGAAAACCCATTTAGGGAGAAGAAGTTTTTCTGTGCCATCCTTTAAGTCTTCAAGAGCAGCCTGAAGAGCCTCAGGGCTCCTGGGACATTGATGTAGAGTTTTTAGCAAAGTGGGCACCTTTCTAGTCCACGGCATTTGAAGAGAGGGAAAAACATCTTGGGAACTCCAGGCTATGCATGTTTAAAGAGCTGGCCCCCTTTATGAGAATGAAAACTGATCCACATCCTGAGTTAAGAGATCTGATTTGCAGAACTGCCTGGAGGAGGGAAATATATTAAAGTAAAATTGGTGTCACTTCTTTTCTGCTCTCCCAACCTTATGTTTCTGCTTCATATTTAAAAAATAAAAATTAAAATTGTTGTGATGAGTTAAGATACGTATGACCTTCTTGGAATGAATATTGTCTTTAAATACCCTCTGATAAGCTGAGTTGCCCAGTGTAGCCACAGTTCGGTTTACTGGCATTGATGTTTAGTCTTTGTGCCTTTATCTTTTTTCCTTCCTCCCTACCTCTTCTTCCACCCTTCCCCAGTAGAGTAGTGTGGCAATAATGCTGGACTTGTCTGTAAGACTCCAAGAATGAGCACACAAAATGTCTAGGAAGATATTCCCCGTGGTGTATCCTCATGGTAATAACAAAAGAAAAAACGAAAAAAAAAAGTGCTGGTTGTCTGTGTTCTCTTACCACTATTCCTAACATTTGTACATGATAGCTTTAATTCTGCAAGTAAAAGTAAATCATGTGTTGTGACTGGTGCTTTCATATATTTGTGACAATTTTTGATTAATACTGCATGAAAATGTCCCTATGTTACATCCATTCAGAAGTTTTGTTGCTTTACTATAAAGCTGGGAAAAGAAATGAGAGAGAAAAAATGCTGGGGAGGGAAAAAACTCGGTATTTTTAAAATTGAAATTACTTCTGCGCCTTAGTCACACCTAAAATACCTCCTAGTTAATGGCATAAATGCCTCTTCAATATATTTTCCAGAATCCAAAGCATTTTGATTTATCCAGAACCCAGGGCAGCACAGGTACCACCAATCAGGAGAGCTAAGGATTCACCATGAGTTGGGACGTGCTTTCGCCATAGAGTATGAGCAAGTTTCCTCTCCCTGAATCACAGAAATTCTAGATTGAAAGAACACTTTCTGTATCTTAAGAAAATCATGGCCTTCCTTTATAAAAGCATCAGAAGAAATAAACCCACAGCTCCAGAGAGGGCGACCCGTTCTCAGAACCCTGGCTATTTGCCCACCAGGGAGAAGAACCCCAGATAGCCCACACTTTGGGCAGCACGTGCAATCCGCACAGCCAGCTCCACCAGAAAGGATCTGGCTCTTTTGTCCACTGAGATGGTCTTGGTTTTTCACTCACCATATTTTTCAATGGAATCTTTTCTTTGTTTCTGTTCTCCACCTTGTTTGTTAGAGTCTCTCAGTCTTCTATTTACAGCTTCCTTGCAGCTAGAGCAGCTCTCTCTTCCCCAAGATATGATATTGACAGTAACTTCTCACTGCAGCTGTAGCCTCCATCAGTAATGGCAAGCCCTGGAAAACTTTATCATTTTTTTCCGTGTCATTCCAAGTCAAAGAGGGCCTCTCTTATATCTTGTTTGCTTTCAAATCCTAAAATACTATTGCCCAATTAATTTTATTCTCCTCTCTTCCCTCTCATTCTCTAACTCCTCTAACTCTTGTTTACATTCCAAGTCAAAGAGGGCCTCTCTTATATCTTGTTTGCTTTCAAATCCTAAAATACTATTTCCCAATTAATTTTATTCTCCTCTCTTCCCTCTCATTCTTTAACTCCTCTAACTCTTGTTTAAAAAAAAAAAAATTGGAGAAGGAAGGGAAAAAGAAAATAAAAAGACTTACTATGCCAAGGACAGATTTTGAAACAGACAAATGTTTTCCTTAGTTCCTTTATGCACATGCTGGTGATAGAATAAATACATCCAATTAAAGCTCACACATGGGGTGGGGGAGAAGAGGCTACTGATACCTTTGTGAAATGTATGAATGCACTTCTGTAACCAGATACTTCTGTTCTTCTGATCAAATCTTGGGATTTTGTTACAGTCATTGGGATGCAGATGAAGATTTAGGGGTGAAAGAACCTAGCAGAGTATTTATTAAACTACAGTATTATACAATCAGCTTAGTAATACTGTGGAATCAGCTAAAACTGTATCACATTTCTTAAATGAGCCAAAACATGAATTGAATATGTGGTCACATGAAAATAACTGTGAATAAAGCACGAGGAATCAATAGAAAGCCCAGATGATTTTCAAAATCCACACCGTTTCTTTTTCTCAAAGGACTCTTTATACATCCATGTAAATCTAGATCTTTGGAGCAATTAAAATGGAATTAAAAATTTTAGGAAGCATCATAATATGGGTCTTGTAATTAAAAGTTAAAAAGTTCTAAACCGCATGTGACCGTGTTTCTAAAAGGAGAAAGAAGGCAGAAAATATACAGCTCATCGGAAGTTAAGTTTAGGGAAAATGTTTTGGCTTTTTCATAATTTTATCTTACACTATAGAATTATTAATACCAGAATATTTATATGTGTTTTGGCTTACTGGTATTTGTAGTTACTAAGGGGAAAATGTGTTTTGATTACTTATGCATCTAAAGAGCTTAATTCCTTTAGAAATGCAACAATCATTTTCACCAGCATAATTTTTTCTTAAAGGGTAACTAATAGGAAAATTAAGCTTAATTCTTTAAGGCCCTAATTTCTACACACAAAATATTGGATAGTAATGAAAATCTGCCATGGAATTAGTTAATAAATAATAACAATAAGCTTCACATTTAGAATGTGAATTCTATAAAAAAACAAAATCTTGCATCATCCTCAATATTAACTCCAATATAAAATTTGTTATTCTCTTTTTAAATTTTGAAACTGCATATTATTTACTTTAAATCAATAGATTGCAAATAAGTACTTTGACCTGAGTCTGATTTTTCTAATAATGTTTAAAAGAGATTGCCTACTAAAAAATATTAAACCAAAAAAAAAAAAAAAAAAAAATTTCTCCATATACCATACTCCCATAAGAAATTTTAAGAAAATCAAGCATGCTGTCTTGAGGGATTTTTATACTTCTTTTTCCTTCTTTCTTAATATTTGCTTCTAGCTGCTCCTGGCAATGATGAATTGTTACATATATAGTAATGTTTCTCAGTCCGAGAATTGTTCACATTTTTCCTATATAAGATCTATGGAGTGTGTTTTTCAAAAAGAGAGAAATGCCGAAAATGTTAAAGCAGGAAAACCTGAATGTGATGTGCACATTTTCATCCCTCATGGACAATGTATTTGTTTTAATAAATGGAATTTTCAGATTCATTTCATCTGCAGTCAGTTTCATTGTGAAGGCCTGCGGACTACCACACCCATTGATTCCAGTTATTTCAGAGGGATCTGATGATACAAATGGGTGGAAAAATAGGAATTTATTGATTTTCATTAGGATTTTGTTAATAGAAGTGTCCTAAGGAAGGAAAAATTCACATGAGACTGTTTAAAAGCCTTTATCCCTGGGTCTCTACATCTCAGGTACAGCCCTTGGGGACAGAGAAATGTGGGGACTGAGGGGAGGTGGAGAGAAAGTCCAGGGCTCTCACAGGCTGGACCATGCAGAGAGATGAGCTGTATTTACACTTTAACTTGCTGTGGTACGCCACAGTGGAATTTTTCCTTTATGAAAAGAAAAATTGAACACAGAAAGTGCTGTTCTCCATAAGCTGTCTATGATCTAAAAGAAGTACTGGAGGGCCGGCCCGGTGGCGCACTGCTATAGTGCTCCGCTTGGGAAGCGCGGTGGTGCTCCCGCCGAGGGTTCGGATCCCACATACAGACCAGCCACTCACTGGCTGAGCGAGGGGCGGGAGCAACAACGAGGGTTGTGATCCCGTGGCCGGTCCCGGTCCGGTACGGGGGCAACACTGAGGGTTGCGATCCGTTGCCGGACACGGAAAAAGACAAAAAGGAAAAAAAAAATAAATAAATAAAATAAAAGAAGTATTGGAGAATATAAATCCTTAGAACTCCAGATTCAGCAGCTCCTCGGAGATCTTAGTCAAGAAAGCCTGAATGTCCCTCAAATTACACCAGTAAGACCTCGTTAGTAAAGAAGGAATCACTGGCTCTCCTGAGACTTGTGCCAGCAACAGCAGCATCTTTAAATCACGGACGAAGGGGCCACTTGGAGGAGTTTGTGCACTAGCGCTCCATTACCATCACTGTTTCAGAGACTGTGGCCCTAGACCACCTGCTTCAGAATCACCTGTCACGCCTCTTAAAAAGGCCGATCCTGGGCCCGCCACTAACTCAATCTCTGGCAGGGACTCTGAAGAACATGCTTGCCTTTACATGCGGTCTGAGAACCACAAATTTAAATACTTCTGACAGCTAGTGTTTCCTAATGCCTAGGGAAAGGCACAAACATGGTAAATGTCCTCACTCTTAGTCTCACAGCCACAGGAAGTGGCTGCCTGGGAGCGAACATGTGAGTGTGGGTGGGAATCCAGAGAGCTCCAGGACAGGAGACACTGGAAGGAGGATGCTGGTGGGTTTCAACTCTGCTCCTGTTTGCTGAGCCCCTCTGGGAGGACTGCCTCCAGCTCTTATTCTTTAATAAGCTGGTCACATTTTACACAATGACAGAGGGAATTGGAGCTGGGTCAGCACCAATCCACAAATTGCAAATAATTTGCCAAGGGAAATCCCTTTCCCTTCGGTTCTGCCCCAAATCTACATTTTCTTCATTTAGAACCAGGAGACTCGGGCAAAATTTATTTTAATGAAGGGGGCCATGGGCTCCTGGGCCTTTCCTCAGCGAGAATTCCTCCTGTTTCTCTTCGCCAAAAAGAAGAGAAGCGGGGCGGAGGGGAGGGTGGGGGCGCATCTCCACCCTAAGGTGACAGAAAGACAGTGCCTGGTGACCTCAGTTCATACAGTACACAAGTATGAGCCCCCTTGGCATGAGCTAGAGAATCAAACTGGGCCCAAGTTCCTGTGTAACCTTGGGCAAGTCCTTTAACTTCTCCATGCTATAAAATGGGGACAAGAATACCTGATTCACTTATCTTACAAGGTTGTCAAAACCAAAGGAAAGTGAGTGGGCAAAGGGGCATCATGAGGGAAGAGGTGGTAAAGAGTCATTAGGCACTACCTGACGGCATCCTTCAAAGAGAAGAAAATACTAGATAGTTCCTTCCCTCCTCTTGGCCCAACTGCCTGGCTCCTTTCCCCTCTAGCTTCCAAACCCCCTGATCCAAACCCTCAATGCCTCATGTCTGGATTCCTGCCACACCCATCAGTGCCACTCCAACTCATCTCCTCTCACTCTAAGCCACCCCACTTGCCCCTGAGTATTCATTAATTAGGACTCCTTTGGTTGCAAGTGGCAGGAATCTAGCTGAAACCAGCTAATAACTGAAGAACCCAGAATTAGGTTCCCCTTCAGGTCCAGCTGGATCCAGGTGCTCAGATGATGTCACTGGATGTTCCATTCACCCCATGGCTCTGCTTTCCTCTGTGCTGATTTAATTCTCAGATTCTTCCTCTGCCCCATCAGGATAGTGTTAGCAGTTCCAGACTTACATCTCAGCAGTTTAGCAATCACAGAAGAAAGATAACAATAGCTCCAGCAAAAGTCCCTTGCCATATCCCTGGAACACATCCTAAGATTTTTATTGGCTGGATTAGGTTCAAGTACCCACCTACCCCTGGACCAGGGCACAAAGGTAGAGTCACTGTGGCCACTTGAGCAGAACAGTGGTAAGGAAACTGAAGTCCTCTTACTAGAGGAAGAGGGACTGAAGGTTAAAGGCAAAAACAACTGGTGTCACCATAAAGAAATGATAAACGTTTGAGGTGATAAATATGCTAATTACCCTGATTTGATCATTACACAACATATGAATGTATTGAAACATCACACTGTACCACATAAATATGTACAATTATTATGTGTCAATTAAAAATAAAAGAAAACAAAGAAAATAACAAATGGTACACACCACATGTTGCCAGATTTATCGACGTTACCTCAGGTTTCGCCACACTCAGAAACCCAGGGTGCTCTGGTTCCTGATGCTCTTGTGAGCCACGTCAGGTCCACCCTCAACTGCCTGGCTCTCAAGGCCCTGGAGAGTCAGGCCCCACTCTGATACTCCTATCTCGTTTTTCAAATCCTCTCTTGTGGTTCATCTTGTGTCCTTCACTGCCCTGTGAATATATCCTACCTCCTTATGATGTTACCCCTCTGGAATGTCATTAACAACTCCTCGACTAGCTTAGTCTTACTCATCTTTCAAGGCTCAGTTTGAATTCCATGTTACCAAACTGAACAGTTCTAGGACACAGGAAGCTGCGGGGAGGGCAGAGGTGGAAGACCAGCCAGAGGAGTCTTGGCTGGAGTTAATGGCTCATTGTATAGTCCTGCATTGCTTAACAATGGGGATATGTTCTGAGAAATGTGTCATTAGGCGATTTCGTCCTTGTTCAAACACCATTGAGTGTGCTTACACAGACCTAGATGGTGCAGCCTACTACACACCTAGGCTATATGGTACAGCCATTATAATCTTATGGGATCACCATCGTGTATGTAGTCTATCACTGACCACTGCATGACTGTATGAGAATCTTGTCTCATGGTAAACCGTTGCCTCCTAGGGAGAAGAGAACACCAGTTAAGTAGGCTCCCCTTT